TGGGGGGGGGGGGGAGTCACGCACGGTGCGGGTATTGCTTGCGAGCGATTGAGTTTGGCCGGCGAGCGGGTATTGCTGCACTCTCGACGAGGGCGCAAGGGGGCGCTCGAGTCACCGCTCGTAGATCTGCATCAGCTGCGGGATCCGATCCAGCTCGCTCACGGAGAGCGTCCGCCTACAGCGATGTCCAATCACACACCGGACTGGGACCTGACACGCCGAGGCGCGGGCCGCTGCGGAGTGACGCGGCGCCGGCTGGCGGAGCGGCTCTCCCACTTGGCTTCGAAGGCGGCCGCCGCCGCGTCGCAGAAGGCATCGTGTGAGATCGACGGCACGCGCTCTCGCAAGTTGAGGACGCGCGCCGCGACCGACGCCACGCCCTTGGACTGCATCTTCAACTTGTTGACGGTGAGGTACCTAAGGTGCCGCCGCCGCGCGTCCGCACTCCTCTCACACGCCTCGAGCTGCGTGCCGCGGCCGGCGATCACCGCCCGAGCGCCGCGAGGTCAACGTCGAGCAGCATCGTGCCTACGGCGCGCATGCCGGGACGCGTTGCGCGATTGCAGCCCGAGCTGCGGAGGAGGCGCGCAACGCGAGGAGCGCCGTGGTGCAGCGAGCGCCTGCACGAGGCGGTGCAGGTAGCTTCTACACACTAGCGGTGCACGCGGTGGCGGCTGGCATGACGATGCAGAGGCGGGGTCTTGGGCTCGGATTGAGGCGGAGGCTGAGTCTCGGCGTCGGCTCGCCTGCCCGCTCCGCCGGCGCTGCCAAGGCGCAGCTTGTACGCCGAGCCAGAGACCTTGCGCCCATCGACAGTGAGGTCGTTGCGGCCGCTCATCTCTGCTCCGAGGCCGAAGCGCGCCAGCGCCTCGAGCAGCACGCCGTTGTTCATCGTCTTGTAGTCGCGCTGGTCCTCGACGGAGGCGTGCGGGTTGATGAAGGAGAAGCCCGAGTCGCCTGCGGGCGCCGCCAAGTGGTGCTGCGTGCCAATGTGGGGAGGTTGGGTGGGTCGAGGCGTGGCTCCGAGGTCGCGGTAGACGCAGCCACCGCCCGTCGGGCGTCTCGCGAGCGTGACACCGTCCTGTTCCAGCAGCTGGACGCGGCACTCCTTCCACGGATTCTGGTGCTTGCCTATGATGATGCACGGCCTGTTGCGCCAGAGCAGCAGCAGCGGGTTGCGGATGTCGACGTGCTCAAAGAGGTACTCCTCGGTCGCGAGGTTGAGCAGGATGTCCTCCGACTCGGCGTAGAGGATGTCGATCGCATCAGTCGCGGTCGGCGGGGCGAGAAAGCTCGGCCACGCACTGCTGGTGCAGAGGGAACGGGCGCGCAGCGCAGCTGACCGCGGGAGGGCCGGCAGCGCGGACCTCACACACGTCTTGCATCGTCGCGCCGTCCTTGACAGCGACTGCGTAGCGGCGGAGAGCATTCACAACTTGCGTGAGCGCAGGCTTGGTGCCGGGGGCAGTGTTTGGCAGTGCACCCAGGCGTGTGAGCAGTCTCGGGGCCCAGGGTTGTGCGTTTACGTGGCTAGGGAGTGAACCAGCCGCGAGAATGCCTAGCCTAGGCGTGGAGGCCCGCGGCTCCTCGGAAACTCCGACCTTCGCCCGCGTGCCTTCCTGACACGAGGACCCGGCTGGCTCCTCCGCTTGTGGGCCTGCAGCCCTCTGGTTTCTGTTCCATGGGCAAGCTACGAGACTGGCTTCGTGGCGATGCTTCGGCAGCGTGCACCTCAATCCTGCACCGTGTTTGTTATGACCCCCCCCAATGAGCACACCAGCGAGGGAGGGCGAGACGATCGAGGGGTCCCGTACCACGCGGAATCGGCCCTATCCAGTGCTCAAGTGCTCAAGTAACCATATTATGTATGTAAAAGAGGGAAGCAGTCGAGAGGACAGGGGAGGGACGTGTCCGAGGGGGACGGGGGAGGGACGACTTTGGTGTTGGAGGGGGAACGACTTTGGTGTTGGACGGCATCAATGGAGGATGGGCGCCTCGAATCACGGTCACGTTGGTTAGCGAGGACAGCGACGGCGTCGTTGGCTGAGCGCAGGGGCGAGGGCGTCGACCGACGGGCGGCGCATCAGGAGCCCCTCGCTGGCGAGCGGCTGGCGCGGGAGGTCACGGAACGACGGGTCGAACGACGGGTCGAGCCCCCCCTCCACCGGTCGAGGCCGCGGTCGAGACGGTGAGCGCGGCCGAGGCCCTCGCGAACGTCGCGGAGTACGGCCCGAACTACGTCCTGCCGCAGGCCGCGGAGTCTAAGACGGCGCGGCGGAAACGGCTGCGCGTGGACGCGGCGGCGAGGATCGCCGGGCACGCTGTAGTCGAGACTGGCACGCACGTGGAGATCCTGGGCGAGCAGAGGTGGTGGCCGGGCACCATCACGGGGCGGGAGGAGGGTTCGGACGGCCGGCTCGTGCACGCGGTCGAGTACGACGGCTACCCCGACCAGGATTTCCGAATCAACTTAGAGGAAGAGACGTGGAGGCGGGTGACGCTCGGCGCCGGCGGCGCGGCCCCCACCAGCGGCGAGGACAGCGACGGCGAGGGCAGCGACGAGGCTGCGGACGCGCTGCCGGCCAGCGCGACCGACAGCGGCAGCGCGGTCGCCACCAGCGACAAGGGGAGCGACGTCGAGGGGGACGGCGACGAGGCTGGGGACGCGCTGCTGACCTGCGAGCCCGCTCCGACACAGCCAAGGGAGCGGCGCAGCACGAGGGCTGGCGACGAGAGCCCGGCGGCAGCCGGGATGGCCAGCGGCGACGCCGGCGCCACGTACGCGGCACTCGGCGGGTATGTTGGCCGGGAGGAGGCGGTCGGCGAGGCGAGCTCCGCCCCTGCGGCCCTCAACTGGCCGGTCAAAACCAGGGTGATGTGACGACGATAACATACGCGAATATCTCGCTCGGTGATCGCTCGCCAGGTAGGATTAATCGCTGGAATCAGGTGTATTTTACTTTTGCTTGGGTGGGCCTCATGATGAAATTCTCGTAAACTCGTGACGCTTGTGGGGCTAGTATGTTGTTTTCTGGGGGCGTTCGGGGCGGCGGAGTATTTTTATGTGCGCGCGGGCGGCGGCCAGGGGCGGCCCCTGGGGACCAAATGGCCGATTTTTTACGATCGAACACACCCGGTGGTGGCGTGGGGAGTGCGGAACGCTACTGGCGGCGTGACAGGGCCTCTCTCGGTTGCGTGTGCCGCCCTCGGCACGCGGGTGCGCAGACATTGGTTTGCGACTCTGCCCGCTCGCTCGTTGTGTACACTCCACACTCTCTCTCACCAGAGGAAAGCAAACGAGTCACTAACTCGTAACTGCAGGGGAGTCTTGTAGCTCGATCGGTCACACCGCCATCGCCGTCGGGGAGAGGGGGGACGACACTGCTCTGGAAGCGTGCACCTCGATCCTGTACCGTGTTTGTTATGACCCCCCCCAATGAACACATCAGTGAGGGAGGGCGAGACGATCGCCGCCCCGGGCGTCGCGCCGTGGCGGTGCCAGCAGGTGGGCTCCGGCGCCGCCCCGCGCGCGCGCAAGCGCGGCGGCGACGCCTCCGCACCACCCGTGCCACCGCCCGGCCGAGCGAGGAGCAGGAAGACGAGCAGAGACATGCTGTCTCAAGGGTTTGTTGACGGCTTCCGCACTTGGAGCACTTGGAGTGCAGTCATTAACCTCACATCCGGGGAGCTGAGAAGCGCACCCAGCGAGCCGGATGATCGGTGTCGGGTTACGGAATGGTTGGGTAGTAGGGCTAGAGGGTCGCTCTACACTTAGCCTCTGCAGCGAGCGAGCGCTCAACTTAGCCCCCGCACGGAGCCGGGCTCAGACGTTAGACGCTGGAAGGCCGGGGGCCATGAACTAGACGACACGAGGCCAACTCCGGGTAACACCCGGGTATACCTGCAAAAGTCCAGGTTTACCCGAAAAATACCTGGACGCGTCCCGACCAACTTATGCCGTGCACGACGCCATATCGCTTTCTCCCAGGGCCAGTGCGCTACTTGCGGCGCGCAACGCTATGCGTGCCTTAAGGCGGCTGCGGCGAAGCGGCGGGCGCCGCATGCCGATGGCAGTGCGGACGATGCGGTTGCGATGTGTTCTGCTTCAAGATCGTGGCGGTGCTTGGCATGCACTTCTGCGATCCCAATCAGCTCATCGCAACGAAGCAGCGCAACAAGCTGGCTGCTGCCAACAAGGCCCTATGCTACCTCACGCGCGGATCGTTCAAAGAGGACCAGCATACACAGGCTTCTCTGACATGCGTTTGTTTGAGCTTGAGGCTATTTGTGAGAACTATTTGGCTAGATGTCGCCGAAGTGCGCTCAAGAAGCAGCAACGAGAATCAGAAGAGGAGAATGCTGAGGCGGCGATTGCTGAGCATGAGGAGGATCGATCGCCCGCCGCAGGCGAAGAAAATTTGGGCGCTAGCGCCGTATATCGCGTGCCATGGCCGACTTAGCCGGTGTAAGAGGCTCCCGCTGATCTTAGACCGCGTAAGCACTCCAGCGTGGCTAGCCACACTTAGACCCGTTAAGCCGCGAGGCTCAGAACTTAGACTACTACCCAACCAGTGGTTACGGGCTAGAGAGCCCTAGCCCCGGGGGTGCGCGTTCGCAGGGAAAGGGCCGTAAAGTAACACGGGTCTCCGAGGGTTAGTTCCGTGTACGGTACCGCCTGGCTAGTCTTCTTTTTTATCAGTTCGCACCTGTGTCGAGCCTGTCGGCTAAAAGAAAGAAAGAAAACACACAACCCAAGGAGCCTAAAAGAAAGAAAGAAAACAGACAACCCAAGGGAGGGATGGGAGAACGGCACTAGCCGTGAGCTGGCGAGGTACTTCCAGCCTGCTGTGGGAACAGCTGACGCAGTCTCGCCGAGGCTCGCCCCAGCACTCGGCGAGACCACGAAAGGCTCGGGGTTGACTCGGCCAGACAAAAACCCCGAGAGGCGTGGGAGTACCTCGCCAGGCCGTGAGCAGTTTCGCGGTTTCGCCGTCTTTCGCAATACAGTTGTTTCGGGGCAGTTTCGATGTTTCGCCGTCTTTGCAATACAGTTGAGAGAGATTTTTATTCTTTCTTCTTTCTACAGTTGTTTCGGTAGTGCCGAAAAGGGGTGCGCGCCAATGGTCCCGTGCCTAGAAGTCGTGTGTTGTGAGAGAGAGCCGCAGGCGTGGTTCGGCGTGGTCCGTGGACGTGCGACGGCGTATCATTCACTTTCAGTTTATCAGGATGGCGCCGCTCATGCCGCCAGGAAGAAGAAAAACCTTCGATCGCTGCACTCTCCAAGAAGTCCTCCAGGATGCTCGGCTTGAGGCCGGATCGGATCTTTTTCTTTTCGCGTGTGGTGGCGTGGTTCGGATTTTTCTTTTTCAGGGACGATGGAATGCACACCGGCACACGTCCCGGCGCCAACGCTGTCGAGGGGGATGCGACGCAGCCAGCACCAACATTGCAGCGCCAGCAACTCGAGCTTGCCAAGGGACGAGCTCGACGGAGCCGCGCGGTAGTGTCCGTCCCGTCATGAGTCCTCGCGCTCTACTCTTCTCCCTCGCTCGCCACCGCGTGCAGCAGCACGGTCCGCGCAACTCAAAGACAGCGCCGTCGGCCGTGAGCGTGAGGGCGCGAAGCCACTGCAACTCCCCTACTGCGTCTCGCGCGTGATCGCGAAGCCCAACACGCAATGGCCAAAGTCGAGCGCCGCGATGCCGTTCGTGGCTCCGGCCGAGTCGAGGTGGTACCGCTCGTGGATCTCGTAGATCGAGTTAACCGGAACTTACTCAACAGACGACTAACCAGCAATGAATCGAGACTTACCGGATCAATGCTAACCAATAAATGGAACTAATAATTGGAGAGGACCGATCTGAACCGAACCGAACCGAACCGAACCGAACCAAACCGAATCAATAAGACAGGGCAGGTACAGTCCGAAGGGCGACACAGTTACGCGCGAGGGCCCCTCGGCACAGCCGCTTCGCGACTAGAGGGGACCCAAGGGGTGCCGGCAGAGACCCTCTTCGCGGCGCACTCGGCTTCGCCTCGTAGTGGGAAGCGAATTGCACCGCGAGCTTGAGAGTCTCCACCCAATAGCGCAAATAGTCCTTGTGGCTGAGACTTGGGAGGTATCGAGTGGGAGTTCATGAGCAGTCTAGACTGCGAGATTGGGATTTTCGTTCCAGGAGGGCGTGGCCGCCTCGCCGAGCCTCCGGGTGACTGGGGAGCCGTTTCATCGCGCCCTGCATCCTCCCGCAAAGCACCTGTTCTACCCGCCATGACGCTGGCAAGCTCCCTCGCTCTTAAGCTGCTGGCGGCGGTTTGCTCCTCCTCGGCGCCGCGCCTCGTCCCGCTCGCGCTCCTCCTGCTGGCGAATCGCTGCGAGGCCGCGGGCACGATTTGCAACAACAGCTGGTACTGCTCCTCCGGATGCCCTACTCACGTGTACGGCACGTCTCTGTGCGACGGCACCTACAAAGGCACCACAGGGTGATTCTGTCCTACCCAGCGTGGAGCGTGTGGAGGCTAGGGCGACATCTCGCAGCTGGAGTGGCTTGACCTGGACGGCAACTCCATCTCGGTCGGGCACCATCCCTACTGGGCGACATCTCGGGGCTGTGGTAAATTAGCTTGCGCAACAACCGCCTCTCGGGCGCCATCCCTGCGATGCTGCCGAGGTCGCGACCGAGTTCTTCGGCTCCGCCAGCGAATTCGCGGCCTATCTTTGACCTTCTGCGCAACAACCAACTCGCGTACAGCAACGTCGAGTACATCTGCCGCGGCGCAGAAAGTGCCGAATGCTTCGGCGTCCCTCCTGACGGCTGCAGCGCGTTTGTCGAAATGCAGCTGTCTCTCACCGACCCCAACAAGTGCGTGGTCTGCGACGACCAGACTGCCGGTCTTGTCCTCGTCGGCGTGTGCATCCTCATTGGCATCGTCGCCCTCGTCGCCTTCGTCCGCCTTGTCGTCCGCCACCCCGCGGCCCTCAAGAGGTGGGTCTCCACCGCCGCCATCCTCATCAATCACGCCCAGACGGCCAGCATCATCGCAAGCATGCGCCTCGAGTGGCCTCAGTCCCTCGTTGCGATCGCCTCCGCGCTCAAGTAGCTCAATATGCTCATGCTGCCCAGTGCGAGCTGCTTTGTCGGGGGAGAGGATTCGCCGTTCGATACGTACGCAGTCTCCGCCTCCTCTGCCATTCTCCTGTTGCTGCTCGCGCCCATCCTCGTTAGGCACGTCGCCCTCTGCCGCCGCCGGCTCGACATCGCCGACACCGCCGAGCTCGTGCTGAGCCTGATCTACTCGCTGCTCTTCACCTTCGGGTGGAGCCTCGTGCTAGAGTTCGTGGCCTACGCGGTTGACGACTTCGAGAGGATCTTTGAATGCGAGGTTGACGGCTTCGAGAGGCCCTGTGTGACGGGTATTCCTCCGGCTTTCTTTACGGAGCCGGTGCTGGGTGCGCTGCTGCTGGTCCTCTTGATCCGCTTCTTCGGCAACGTCCTCGCATTCAAACGCGGCGTCAACAGTGGGGTGTGGCGGCGCCCCACGAACCCGTGCTTTGCTTGCCGCTCGAGCGAGCGGTCTCAGTCGTTCGGCCGCCCCATCCCTCCCCGACGGCTCGAGCGGCAAGTTGCCTACCTCGTTGGCCGCTTCGCTCGCCACGCTCCCCGCTGGCAAATCGTCATTTGGCTCCGGCAGCTCCTTGTCCTCCTCCTCGCCTACATCAGCGACGTCGTCTTTGTGACCACAGATAATTTCGACACCGCAGAGGAGACGTTCGACGCCGTCCGCTACGCCATCGCCACCGTCGCGATCGCCGTCACCCTCGTCTTTTGGCGCCTCCACCGCCGCGCACTCCCCTTCGCCTTCCGCTTCCAGAACGCGCTCAAGTCGTGCCTCTACGGCGCCACCGCTCTCTTCCTCACCCTCGCCATGGTGTACACCGCGCTGCCCGCCGACCCCGTCGCCCTGCGAGTGAGCGTCGAGGCGCTCATGGCGACAGTGCTTCTCGGCAGCCTCATCATCGGCGCCGTCTACTCGGTCCGCCAGCTGCGGCAGATGCGGCGTGCGCTCGCTCGCGTCGACCTCTCCGCCATTCTCTCCGCCGCCGACTCCAAGATCGACGGCTCGATTGCGGATCGGTTGCGCGACGGCTCGGTGCGGCTGCTCCGCTGCAGCTGGCTGGCGTCGCCCGCCTCGGACGCTTTCCTCGGCCGCGACGCCTCTGGCGCCGTCATCATGAAGAGGCGACAGGACTTGCCGGCTGAAGCTGACGTGCGATGAGGCGGTGGCGATGCTCGAGCGAGGCGACCGGTCCGTCTTAGCGCTCTCTTACGCTCGATCGGTCACACCGCCATCGCCGACGGGGAGAGGGGGGACGACACTGCTTCGGCAGCGTGCACCTCGATCCTGCACCGTGTTTGTTATGACCCCCCCCAATGAACACACCAGTGAGGGAGGGCGAGACGATCGAGGGGTCCCGTACCATGCGGAATCGACCCTATCCAGTGGTCCAGTGCTCAAGTGCTCAAACAAAAACTCCGGTACCTAGGTAGGTGAAGTGTCGGCGGAACTGCCCTTGAATATGGTCCGCGGTGCGCCAAACTGTGATGGGTGCGGCCAAACCGACCTGTTGGTCGTGCTCTTCCTCGGCCCCACATTCCCACGAGCCGTCTATGAGCTACTGCATCGAACATGGCTCGGCCTGTTACATTCCGGCGGCGCTTGTGCCACACCCATTCAAGAACGCCGTGCGGTACGCCACCGCTTCTTCACAGAGCGAGCCATCAAGCTGAGCAATTTCCGCAACGACGACGATGTAGTGGCTCTGAATGCAACACGCTGCACAGGGGGCTCGATACACAAGGGGCCAGGGGCAACAGCTCTGAACTTGGATGAGAGTGCACAGTGGCTCGAGGCTCTCGCCTTCTCCATGGAGCATTTTACTCCCAAGCTTTTGCTGAAGCTCGACACGGATGGCATCCTGAATGTGCGCAGCATGCTACGGCTGAGCAAGCTACTCGAGCCGGTCATCGAGAAGACCTTCTTCATGTTTGGTGCGACTGTCTGGAGGGGCGCAAGCACAACGCTAGAGGAACACGCGCGACTTCGAAGTCAATACGGAGCAGCGGCTTTCCATCCGGATGAGAATTGGGTGCTCTTCTCCGGGACTGCCACGAGGGCACTGCTCGCTGCCAAAGGCCCTCGCTCGAAGCGAATTTGCGATGGCACGCTGGGTGCGCTCCCGTCGGTATCCTTCATGAACAACTACTGGCCTATCATCATGAGGCTTCCCAATGTCCTCATCCTCGCGCATCCGGGCGTGGTATCCTTGGGTAAATGCACACTCGATGCTACTCTCGGATCGTGTGGGCACTCCCGGCTGAGTGGTCACCAGTTTACTCACCCAAACTTGAGCCCTCATGTGCTGTGGTTGCATCCTGTAAAGGTTGCGGCGACGTACGAGCGCATCTTCGAGCAGATGTTGAGCCGTGCCTACAAGCATGAGGCAGTTAGCCTACCTCTTGCAGGCCCCCTGCCGAGCTGGGCGGCGCTTGTGGCGTGCCAGTCTGATGCTGGCCATGTGACGGCCTCTCTAAATGCAACGGCCGAATATGTGGTGTCGGCAAAAGAGCAGGAATTGGCGTCGGCCAGTGTCCCGACTCCAGTGCTGATGCCATTTACGACGTTTGACTGTACTTCGTTGCTTCGTTGGGGTGTCGCTAATCGCTTGAGTGTGGTCCCGCCTCTGTGGGAGCTTGGCAACCTTGAGCGCCACCCTCACGCTCTACACTCCCGCACGGTCTATGCAGCAACGTGGACAGCACCTGCACACAATGAATCAGTCGTGCACGAAGAAGCTGAGATCATTATGGCCAGCAACACGAGCGCAGTCACGTGCGACGCCTTCACCAATTCACTGGGAGTGCCCCCAGGCGACTGCCCACACCGCTGACAGGTTTCCTAAGTACTAAGAATTCTTTTGCATGGCGCATATGTTGCCGAGCAAAAGCAAGCTGCGCGCGTCCCATAGGCATAGCGTGGTCTCTGGTGTCCGGGTTATGGCCTTTGCGATGAGTAACACCATTTTCGTCGGCACGAGTACCGGTACTAATAATATCATATTACCGTACCTCGATCATAAGCGCGTTCATGAAGGGGTGATGCCCTCCGGCACAGTGTGGCGTGCCCCTGCGCGTCGATCGGAAGCCGCGCACCGCCCAAAAGTTGATGGCCCGAACTGCTGCTTTCGCCTCGTCGTTGAGGGGGCAGTCGAAGAAGGCATCGTCGCCAATCGAGAGGCCATCGGGCAGCGGCAGCGTGACAGAGGCGAGGGAGGAGCAGTTGCAGAAGGCACAGTCGCCGATGGAGGTGAGGCCGGCGGGGAAGGTGACGCGGGCGAGGGCGAAGGAGAAGGCGTGATCGCCGATGGAGGTGAGGCTGGCAGGGAGGTCGATGGAGACGAGCGAGGAACAGCCGAAGAAGGCTTCGTCGCCGATGGAGGTGAGGCCGGCTGGGAGGGTGACATGGGCGAGCGAGGAGCAGCTGGCGAAGGCGCCTCTGCCGATGGAGGTGAGGCTGGCAGGGAAGGTCGTTGCCAGAGCAAAGGCAATGGGGTTTGTGGAGCGTCCAGAGAACCTTTGTTACGTAATATCTCGGGACCGCGGACGCCATTGCACAATTGAAAGATCTAGATCTACTTGAGCACTTGAGCACTTGATAGGGTCGATTCCGCATGGTACGGGACCCCTCCGATCGTCTCGCCCTCCCTCACTGGTGTGTTCATTGGGGGGGGTCATAACAAACACGGTACAGGATCGAGGTGCACTCAAAAAAAAAGAACTCGTGCCGCTGCTATCCCGAGGCATGGCGGCGTGTTCTAGCAGCGCCCCACGCTATCCCGAGGCATGGCGGCGTGGTCTAGAACCTCTGCGTGCGGGTCGAGGTCTCGTCTCGGGTTGGTTGCGCCATGGTAGTCGGTTGGGTGTGTGTGTGTGGTGGGGGGGGGGGGTGCGCCTGTCCTCTCTCACATAAAGGTTCTGGGAGGTGCAGCAGTGCAAGATGCAAGCAAGCCGCAGCACCAGCGGGACAAAATGCCGACTTGCTTCCTACTCGTCCGAATCGATGTCGTCTCCCTCGCTGCTGTCCTCTCCGTCAGAGGAAGCAGGCGTGGGCGGCCGGCTTGCCCACACCTCGATCTTCTTGGGCTCGAGCTGGCGCTCCCGGTCGCGGTGGCCTAGCTGGCCATCGCGTCCACTGCCCCAGCTCCAGACAGCGCCATCGTCGGTGATGGCGAGGCTGTGGCCATCTCCAGTCGACAGAGCGACGACGCGCTGGCCAGCCAAGGCCTCAATCTTCTTGGGCAGCAGCTGGCGCTGCTCGTCGCCGTGGCCCAGCCTGCCATAGTCTCCATCGCCCCAGCTCCATACAGCGCCGTCGGTGGTGAGGGCGAGGTTGTGCAGACATCCCGCCGAGACAGCGACGACGCGCTGGCCAGCAAAGGCCTCGATCTTCTTGGGCAGCAGCTGGCTCTGCCGGTCGCCGTGGCCGAGCTTGCCAAAGCTTCCATCGCCCCAGCTCCAGAGGGCGCCGTCGGCGGTGAGGATGAGGCTGTGGCGGGCTCCAGCCGAGACAGCGACGACGCGCTGGCCAGCAAAGGCCTCGATCTTCTTGGGCAGCAGCTGGTCCTGCGTGTCGCCGTGGCCCAGCCGGCCAAAGAGTCCACTGCCCCAGCTCCAGACGGCGCCGTCGGCGGTGAGGGCGAGGTTGCGGACGCGTCCAGCCGACACAGCGACGACGCGCCTTCCCGCCAACGCCTCGATCTTCTTCGGCAGCAGCTGGTGCTGCTGGTCGCCGTGGCCCAACCGGCCGAGGGTTCCACTGCCCCAGCTCCAGACAGCGCCGTCGGCGGTGAGGGCGAGGCTGTGGCTGCCTCCAACCGACACAGCGATGGCGCGATGCGCCGCGAATGCCTCAGCCTTCTTTGGCAGCAGCTGGTTTTGCTTGTCGCCGTGGCCCAACTGGCCAAAACGTCCATTGCCCCAGCTCCAAACGGCTCCGTCGGCGGTGATGGCGAGGCTGTGCTGGTCAGCTGCCGTCACAGCGACGACGCGCTGCCCAGCCAAGGCCTCGATCTTCTGGGTCTGCTCGTCACCGTGGCCCAGCTGGCCAACTCCATCGCCCCAGCTCCAGGCAGCGCCGTCGGTGGTGAGGGCCAGGCTGTGGAGTGCGCTTGCCGACACGCTCACGGCGCGCTCGCCTCCCAGGGTTGACGGGAGACGCGTCGGCGTGTTGAGCCGCCTCACGCCCTCACCGTGCCCGAGGAGCCCTGGCTCGACATACGCTGAGCCGCACGACGAGAGCCGCCCCTCGCCGTCAATGAAGAGGCTGTGCCGATAGCCTACCGCCAGCCTCGCCGGCGGGTTGGACGCGCGCAGCAGCGCCGAATAGCACAGCCACCGCACGGCGCAGCCCTCGCTCTCTGGCAGCGCCGGCAGCTCGAAGCCGCGCTCCTGCGCCCACAAGCGGATGCCGTCCTCCGCGAGTGAGGCGTGGAAGAGCAGCGAGACGGCCGCGGCGCGAGCGATGTCGGGGGGGTCGCAGCGAGAGAGGGCTCGCACGAGGAGCTCCCTGGGGAGGTCGAGGAGGCGGGCGGGCGGCGGCGTGTCTGGCGAGGGAGTAATGGCGGCGGCGTGAAAATGTCTTTTTCTTTTTTCGCACCATGCGCGCTCGTTCACCGCTGCGCAAAAAGAAAGCGCGCCGCCGCCATGGCCCGTCTTCGCTCTCCGTCGCCATGTTGTCGCATCGCTGCTAGTCGCCGTGTCTCTCCCGGCCGCTCTCTCGCTGTGCGGCTCCCGCCTCGAGCGCAGCGGCCTGCTGGCGCTCGAGCAAGGCGAGCCAGCGACGGCCGTGGTGATGCTAACTCGCGCGCGGCAATCTGCTGCGTACAGCGGCGCGGCTCTGCTCGGGCGTCTCCCGGGCGGGCTCCTGTGGAGCGGGCTCTCGCCGAACAGCGAGTACGCGGCCGGGCGTGCGGTGCTCGAGAGTCGAGGCGAGGTCCTCGCGGCGATCGACCACTTTGACGCCGCTATACGCGGGAACCCAAACCTGTGGCCGGCGCATGCCAACCTTGCGGCGGTTCAAGCGGGGCTCGGCGACGTCATGGCGGCGCTCGAGGCGACTCTTAGCGTAGCAGACGCAGCCCATGCTGCAGAGAAGAGGTAAGGTAAGGTAAGGTAAACGTCTCCACACACACAAAGTGGTGGGGCAAGGGGGGGCGACCCTCGCATCTCCACGCCCGGACACGGGCAGGAGCCCCACGGCATTCAAAGTGCAAGCACCGGCCCGGTGCCGTGGGTGAGCAACCTGCACCCCACTCCCTCCCTCCCAGACACAGGACCCACACACAACCCCCACAGCGTGGACGACTACGTGTTCAGAAACACCAAGCAGTGAGGCGAGGGTGAAGGGGTAAGGGGCTGTGTGGGGCAGAATCTACATCTGACTACTCCATCTAGCCTGGGGGGTCGGAGGAGGGGGGGGCAGAAGGGGTAAGATATGGGTGAAGCCAGCTAGTCGGACGCCCTGTCGTCGGAAGACTCCTCGGAGCCGGTGTCCTCGTCGTCGTCCTCGCCCGACGCGGAGGTCGGGCGAGAGGTCTGCATCGCCTCGCCGGCTGTGAACCTGAACACGGCGTCGGCCGGCGCCGAGGCGCCGGCGGCCGTCATCAGGTGCATCACAAATCTGTCGCGGCATGCCGCATCAATCTCTCCATACTCGGCCAGCTCGTTTGCGAGCCAGTCCGAGGCGACGGTCGTCGCCACGGTCCCCTGGGGAACCTTGGCGTACACCTTGCTGGGGCCGCGTCGATACCCGTCGTCCCTCTCCGGGGGCAGCGAGTAGGTGACCTCTATTTTGGACCCGGCCTGGCTGCGCGTCTGAGAAGAGACTCTGAGAGACCGCCCAGCTCGCCCCTCTCGGTTGAATTCTCGTCAAGGTCGTCTGTCCCCTCAGCAGCAGCGGGGAGCACGGTCGGAAGGGCGCTTTTGTCGCTTTCGGCAACACTGAATCATTCTACCGGAACATGGTCATGGGGCATGGGCCCTACTGCGAGGAGGGGGAGGGGGGGAGGGGGGGGGAGGGAGAGGGGGGGGGAGAGGAGGAGGGGGGGAGGGGAGGGGGAGGGGTACGGGGGGGGCGGCATGGAGGGGGAGAGGAAGAGCAAGGGCGAGAGAGGGCAAGGGACCGGGCGCTGGCATACCAGGGGGGGCAGGGTGGTGGGCGGCGACCGCCGCATACCGTCCTACGGCGGGGACTATCGCTACGCCAGGGAAGACAAGGGCGTCGAAGTGCAGCTGCTGCTGTTCGAATCGTTCGGCGGGTTCGGAAAGGGGGTCCGTGAGATCCTCCGGAAGGCGGCGGACGTGCTACAGAACAAGCTGACGCGGGGGAGAGATCGATCGATCGAGTTTGGTTGGATGGGAGATCCCTTTCTTTTGTCTGAGTTTGCGTTTAAAATTCTTTTTTGTGTGCCTGGGGTGTGCCTGTGATAGTGCTAGCACGCGTGCAACGAAGCTGCGGGCGCTCGGCGCGATCGCCGACTGGGGGGCCAACTCGAGGGCCAGCGCATGGGGTGTCGCGTGAGCATCCTAGGCCGGGAGGAGGTGGATCCTAGACCGGGAGGAGGTGGATCCTAGACCGGGAGGAGGTGGGTGGCATGACGCGGGGGAGAGATCGATCGATCGAGTTTGGTTGGATGGGAGATCCCTTTCTTTTGTCTGAGTTTGCGTTTAAAATTCTTTACCCGCGATTTCTTTTCCTTGTTCTTTTCGGTTCTTGTTTTTAAATAAATAAATAAATAAAACGGGCACGCCAAACGAGGGGTGGGAGAAGGACCCACTCCCCTGCGTCACTACGTGCCTCCCCGTCTTTGTAGCCTGGCGTTTGTGCCCCGTTTGTGCCGCGTCCCGTGCCCCCGAGTTCATTTTGTTTAAGGACAGGGTCCCCACGAGCGGGATCCTGTCCTGCACGAGCGGGATCTTCTTGTTTTTAAAACTCCGCTTCGCTGTGCATGTTCTTTTTTGTGCGAGGGAGTTTATTGTAAAATTCTTTTTTGTGTGCCTGGGGTGCCTGATCGTCGATGTCCCGACCGCGCCGCGCGCGCGCCACGCTGCTCCTCCTGTGGGCGGGGAGCGTAGCTGGCGGGCGCGGCGTCGCTGTGGTCACCGGCGGGACCGGTGGCATCGGCCTGGCCACGGCGCGGCTCCTCGCCGCCCGCGGGAGCGACCTCGTCCTGGCGTACGGCGCCGACGACGCGCGGGCGGCGGCTGCCGCCGAGGAGCTGCAGTCTGCCCACGGCGTGCGCGTGGTCACGGTCGGCGGCGACCTGACGACCGACGCGGGCCGCGAGACGACGGTCGCCTCCGTCTTCGCCGCGGTCGACGGCGAGCTGGACGGCCGCGTGGCGAGCTTTGTGCACGCGGCGGGCTTCTTCCACGAGGGGCTGCTGAGCACGCACCTCGACGGCAGCATGCAGGACGCCTTTGCGATGTACGACGAGTACCAGTCGATCTACCCAAAGGCGCTCATCGCCTTCGCCGAGGAGTGCATCCCGCGCATGGCCGACGGTGAGGGCCGGATCGTAGCCGTGAGCAACCCGGGCTGCAACACGATGCAGATACCGCGCGTGAACTACGACATGCCGGGGCAGGCCAAGGCGACGATGGAGTGGCTGGTGCGCATGTACGCGCTCCGCCTCGCCGGCCGCGGCCTCTGCGTCAACGCCGTCTCGCCGGGCTACACAGACACAAAGGAGTGGGACAAGGCGCGGCTCGGCATGGGGAGGGGCGACATGGAGGTGGGGAGGAAGCTGCTCGACGAGAAGATGCTCTCGCGCTCGCCGATGCGCCGCTGGGCCGACGCGTCCGAGATTGCGCAGACCATCGCCTACCTCGCCGCCGAGCAGACGGGCCTCATCACCGGCGCCTTCATTCCCGTGGACGGAGGGCTGCACCTCACATGACGACCCGGTGGGGGATGGATCGCCGCTTTGACGAGGAAGGGAGAGCCGCGACCGGCTGGGCCGTAGTCTTTGCAATACCAAAAACGCGGAGTATACCTGAGGAGTATACACAGAAAAAACAACCCGGCTTGGGCAAGCCCATTTTCAAGATTACAAAATGAGTATGAGGCTGCTACCCAGGCGGAATCGACCTATCAAGTGCTCAAGTGCTCAAGTCGGTAACCTCACACCCAGGCGTCGCCAAAAAGAAACGCGGAGCCTTACCTCACCCCCCCCAAAGGCAAAGCAGCTGGGCTAGGGCTGGGCACCGGGACCTTCTCAAAAGTATCGAGTCAGTCGGTCGATCCTGTACCGTGTTTGTTATGACCCCCCCCAAATGAACACTCCAGTGAGGGAGGGCGAGACGATCGAGGGGTCCCGTACCACGCGGAATCGACCCTATCCAGTGCTCAAGTGCTCAAGTCAGTCGGTCAGTCAAAGGGGCGCAGTAGTCATCTGTCCGATGGAGGCTCATCTTGGTGGAACGCAGACGGCCGATCACGAGGCGAACGCTTCTGAGGATATTGCTAGGGATGTTGCCGGGGGGGGCCTCCGCGTGGCCAAACGCCCTTGGCAGCCCGCCGAGGATGACCGCCTCCTTGAGCTCGTGCAGCGGTTCGGTTCGCACCGGTGGGGCAAAATCGCGTCCCACCTCCCTGGCAGGATTGGCAAGCAATGCCGCGAAAGGTGTGAGCCCCGTGGCACACAGCACGGCTAGTTATCCGCCCAGCACCAGAACCTCCCAGCCCGGAGCCGCCCCCCACCACCACCACCGCTGGTAGGTGGCACAACCAGCTCTGTCCGAGGGTGAACAAGGATGAATGGACCGTGGAGGAGGATGCGCTGATCTTGCACCTTGTGCAGGAGATGGGCACCAAGTGGTCCAAGATGACGACGCTGTTGCCCGGCCGTACGGACAATGCCATCAAGAATAGATGGAATGCGAGGATGCGTCGCGAGAAGCGGCGGCAGAAGCGGTCGCCATCCCTCGCAAGACCCGAGGTGGACCCCATCGGGACGGGGAAGGCTGAGGAGGCCACAGGCAAGACCTCAGCCGACGAGGCGAAATCCTGCTCCCTGCCCGCACTGATCATCGACGACGGCACCTTCGCCACTGACCTTTTGGAGCGAAGTGCCTTTGCGATGGAGGAGCCTGTCTTCCCCTACCCCGTCGTCGCGACCGTTAAGGTGCCTGACGGCACCTTCGCCAATGACCTTTTGGACTCCCCCGTCATCACGACCGTCGAGGCGGCGTCAACGATCGAGGCGCCGGCCTGCAAGTCGCCAACCAAACGCAACCGCGGCGCCGCTGGCTTTGCGAGCCCGGCCTGCTTCCGTCCACCTCCAGGCTGCAGCTCCATCTATGCGCTTGCTGCGCGCGCTGAGTCTCCCGAAGGCCCCCCCACCGACGTCGCCAACTACCTCACGCCGCCCGCCAAACGCGCAATGTCCAAGAAGAAGAAGGCGAAGGCTGCGGTTCCTTCATCTTGCACCTCGAGTTCATACGAAGAAGAAGAAGACGCTCTGTTGTCCTTTGAGTTGTTCGACCAGCTCTCTCTGAACCTCAACAACGAGCGCGTTGACGATCTCGCGCACCTTGGCGGGCTGCACGATGAGATGTGGGTCCGGTGCGGGCATCTCGCGGACAGGTGGTTCGATGGATCGATCGTCGAAGCGCATACGCACTGGCAAGTGACTCAAGGAGACCAGGAGAGTTGCTCGACATGTGACCTCGTGGACCTGCCAGATTCGCCCGACCTGTCCGATCTCATCTCTGACCTGAGTTGATCCGACCTGGCACCTGCCCAATGCAACGTAGTAGTAGCCCAACCTAGTTCAGACAGTGCAATGTCCTCGCCGTACACCAGGATAGATAGGCGCCTTGCTGGCCGGGACAAAAAGGTCATCGTCCTGTATCTCTACATATGCCATATCTGAGCAGGCAGGGGCCCAGGGTCCAGAGAGTAGGCACACCGCACACGGAGAGGTTTTGTGCGGAGTCGCTTAGGCGGCTCCGGTCTGGTGTGCCTGTGATAGTGCTAGCACGCGCCAGTTCGCACCTGTGTCGAGCCTGTCTGCTGTGAGAGAGAACGGCGCAGCCGCCCGGGAGCTCAGGTGCTACCGCTCCGCTTGTGCATATCGAGTTTTAGGTATGTTACTGTTAACAACTAGCAACACTGAATTCAGCTCCTCCTCCAACGCGTTTGGCCGGGCTCTATTGTCTATATAAGGGCACATGCACAAATTCAAATATCACACAAACAACTCACAAGTACACATAGCATTCGCAACGATTGCGCACTATTTAACACACCGACGCCTGCCAACAATGGAGATGCTTTGAGCCTGAACCCACAGGCGCGCTCAAAGCGGTGCAGACTGCAGTCCATCACCCACGCATTGCGCGCCTCCGACCGCGACACGAAGAGCGATCACCACCCTGTCACCACCGCACAGCGGCTAGCTAAAAGTACTTGAGCGGGTCCGCCTCGCTCTTTGCCACCTGCACCGCCGTGAGGGTCACGCTGCCGAAGTGGTCGTAGATGCGCGCGTGCGCGTACTCGCCGCTGGCGAGGCGGAGCTTGACAAAGTAGTTCGTGCCGGCGACCACCTGCATGGCGCGTGCAGATCCGGTGAGGAGCGACCACCTCGGTCCGCCGGCCCGCCAGGAGGGGGGTGGGGGGGGGGGGAGCACCTGGGAGGCCGCCTCGACAACCGTCGGTCGGGAGGTCAGCATGCCGTTCCGCCCGCTCGCCTGCGTCGCGCGCTCCAGCGCCTGTGTCTGGTACACCTCAGCGACCACCTCAGCGAGGCGCGCGTCGGCGGGGTCGAGCGAGCGCAGCCCGCCCGGCATGGTGCGCGGCGGCTTGATGCACTTCTTGCCCGCGCCGGGGATCGAGATGCCGCCTGGTGGGTGGCATCGCTGGGGGTGGGCTGCTATTTAGGGCACCCGCAGGCCCGAGCGCCGCAGGCGAAGACGGAGGGGCGGGCGCGCAAACCGGAGGACTGACAGACGAGCCCACTAGCGCACGCGGGGAATTGTTTGCCGGTCATCTCGTTGAAGCCCTCGCACGTCTCGCCCAGCTGCGCGCCGCCGCCTTCCTTGAGCTTCTGCCCAATCCACCGGGCGAGAGTGGACGAGCCCATGCCGTACCCGCCGGGGAGGGGCACGAGGTCGCGGGTTTGGGCGACGGGCGGCAGGCCCCACTCCGCGGGGTACGGTTGCTGTGCGGCGGCCATCGACAGGCAGAGCAGGAAGCGGAGCATCGGGCCGGCGTTTTTGGTGAGCGAGGAGCAGACAAAGCGAGCAGGCAGAAAAAAAAAAGAATTCGCCCCCCCCATACGTGTTCGTGGCTCCTCCTTTGCTGTCCCATCTCCTCATCTTCTTTCCTGCCTGGGCGGGGCAGTGGGCGGGCGCGCGGTGCGGCGCGGCGTGTGCGTGTGTGCGACTGCAACGAAGGACCGCTCGCAAGGGACCATTGGGTTTGTACTATTAACAACGAGGGCGATCTAAAACAAAAAACTGGGCGACCAATCAATCAATCGAAGTGCTCCAAGGACTCTGGGACCGGAGTCGGGCGGGCGCATGAGGCGTATCCGTGTAACGCTGGTCAGAAAGTCGAGCAAAGGCAGAAAAAATAAATCTGAGAGGGGGGGCGCGGAGGGCGTGTTTGCTTGTTGGCGAGCCAAAATGGTGATGTCCGAGGACAAACACGTATGGGAGGGTAAAGTTGCGCGACACGCTGCCCGGAGGGAAAATTCTTTAGTTATTATTCATCGTGAAATCGAAACTAGCACATCGCCTCTCGAAAACAAAACAAATCTCTTTCACAGTCCATGGCGCCCGCTGCTGCCGCCGACCCCAACCAAGCGCACGCCGGCAGCAAAAGAACATGTGGCAGTGCTCTGCAAACGAGGCGACGGGGCCTCGACGGCTAGCGTCGGCCTCGCCCCCACGTGGGGAACGCTCGCCGCGTCATTCGAAGAGCTCCAGGAGTTCTTCGACGCCTTCCCCGAGAAAGATGAGCGCGCTCTCGAACGGTCCGGGGCGCGGGACGCGAAAACGCCACGCGGGGACCGTCGCTGGCCGCCTTGGCCGCCCGGGCAGGCGGAGCCTCGCCACCGCCCGATCGCGCAACCTCAGTCGCGGCGGCGGGCCACGCCGATGAAGGAGGCGCCAGTAGTCGTCGGTGGTCAGCTCGACCATCCGGCTGAACTCGTGGTCAAACGTGTCATTCGCTGCCTGCAGCCCATCCCGCTCTGTCGGGCAAAGGCAGGCGACCATCCCTCCAGTCGGAGTGGCGACCACGTACCATTTTAGCGGCGGTGGTTTGGCCGGAGGCGGCGGCGCCTTGCGGCAGAGGGGGCAGCGCAGCGAGCGGTCGGCGTGGGCGCACCGCGTCACGCAGTGGTGGCAAAAGTAATGCACGCAGCCTGCAGGCCAGGGAGTCGGCCTCTCCATCGGCTCGAGGCAGATGGTGCACTCCTGTCGGCGCTGCTGCACCTTCCGCACGCGAACCTGGATCAGCACCGCCGCGGCGAGCTGAAGCTCGACTCGCAAGCCGTCAGCGTCCAGCATGGCGGGATCGGAGCGCAGGCGTGGGAGGCACGGTACCGACCGCCGCACGAGAGTCGAAGAGGAGTCAGTTTTTGCAGAACGACTCGGCAATCTCTGTCGGACTTGTCACGGCGTCCCGATTTACATGCCTTTTTTCGAGAATTCGTTGTTTTAACCGTGGTGTACCTGTGTTAGTGCCAGTGCGCGCCAGTCCCGTGCCCAGTGTTGTGCGAGGGAGCTTTGTTGTAAAATTCTTTTCTATGTGTGATCGGCTCTGTGCTTCCCGCGCGCCCGATTTTTTATATTATACCAAAAGCTAGGCCCACAACGCCCTCTATGTTGGGTCAAGGGCGCCTACCTAGAAGAAGGCGCCGCCCCCCGAAGAGGAATCCCACCCGTACCCCGAGCCCCCGTCGAAGAGCGCGAGAGAGATTTTTAGCAATACCAAACAAATCTAACACTCACACGTCATTTGGGGCCTGGAGCCCTGTTCAGGGCAGACGATGCGTTGCGCTTCTTAGCGAGGGCTTCTTCCTCCGTCTCTACTCACGATTTCTGTTCCTTTCTTTCGGTTCTTGTTTTTAAAACTCCGCTTCTTCTTCTCAATGTTCTTTTTTGGGTGTACCTGTGTTAGTGCCAGTGCGTCCCAGTGGCATCTTTTAGAGAGAGAGAGATTTCTCTTCATCTTTTAAGTCCGACCTGTGTCGAGCCTGTCTAGGGAGGTAGGTAGAAAGGTGAAGAACAGCCAGGCTCGGACTGGACACCAACGCGCTTGTCTGCTGTATTTTTTGTGTTAGTGCCAGTGCGCGCCAGTCCCGTAAAAAAAAGAAAGAAAGAAAACAGACAACCCAAGGGAGGGATGGGAGAACGGCACGCCGCCACCACACAGGGATTTTAAGGAGAGGAGTGTGATGCGCTAGCCGTCGCCTACCCTAGGGAGTCTGCCTCTTCCTATCTCTCTTCGCAGTCTCTCTCCGATTCTCGCTTCAACCTTCGTGCCACCTCGCGGCCGTCCCACTCTCGTCGCCAGTCCCGTGCCCAGCGTTCTTCGCGCTCGTAAAATTCTTTTTTTCATGTCCTGGTTTGGCCGACAAACCCTCTCTCGCGCGAACGCCGACGCTCGATCTCGTGAAGCGCCTGTCAACCGCGCCGAATGCTGCCCGAGGGCACCGGCCACGCACGCGCCGCTTCGAACCCCTCTGCGGACGCGGCGGCGGTGCTGGGAGGCGCGCCGCCGGCAAGGCTTCCCGAGGGCGACGCGGCTCTGCTCCCTCTCGGCTGGGGCCAGCGGCTGGATGTCGGGACGCGCGGGACGGTCTTTGTCGACCGGCACGGCTCGCACACCGCCCTCGACCCGCGCTCGGAGCGGCGGGCCGCCCTCAAGGCTCGAGGGTGGAGTCCCGCAGCCCGCGACGCGGCTGCCGACCAGCTGAGCCTGCTCAGCACGCAGGCGCACGCGCTGGCGTCGGCGGGGAGCGAGCTGCGCCGGTGCATCTCGGCGCTGCTCGAGTGCGAGCTCATGCTCCCTCCTCCCGCCAACGGAGCGAGGCCCGACGCGGACGCCGCAGAGGGCGTCGCTGCGAGGCAGCGGCTGCTAGCGGCGGTTGCGAGGCGGCTGCTAGCGTCTCCTGACGCGGCGGCGGCGGCGGCGCCTGCCGCCGAGGCGGGGACGTCTTCTCGCGCGGGAGGCGCCCGGCTGCGCAGCGGAGGAGGCGGAGGCGGCGGAGGAGGAGGAGGCGGAGGTGTGACGCTGCTTCGGACGTATAGCGCTCAGTACGACCCGAGCAGCTGGGTACGCGAGAGCTGGCACGAGCACGCTCTGTCTTCGATCCTTCGCCACGCGGCGGCGAGCGAGCTGCTCGAGCTGTACACGTCCGGACTCTTCGGCCCGCGCATGTCGCACCTCGTCCGCCTCAAGGAGATAGCCGAACCGAGATGCAGCCGAGAGATAGCCGAGAGGCAGCCGAGAGATAGCCGAGAGGCAGCCGAGAGGAAGCCGAGAGGCAGCCGAGAGGCAGCCGAGAGGCAGCCGAGAGGCAGCCGAGAGGCAGCCGAGAGGCAGCCGAGAGGCAGCCGAGAGGCAGCCGAGAGGCAGCCGAGAGGCAGCCGAGAGGCAGCCGAGAGGCAGCCGAGGCACAGCCGAGGCACAGCCGAGGCACAGCCGAGGCACAGCCGAGGCACAGCCGAGATGAGGCGAGTGTGCGTCCACCCACCGGCACCGGTTGAGCCGCTGACCCTAGGACCGGATCGAGACGGTCGGCTTCCCGTTCCTCCGCGCTCGCAGCGTGCCGGGCCGCGGCACGCTCGGCCTCGCCCCACCCCCGCCCGTCCCTGCCGACGGCCTGCTGCCGGTTTGCCACGAGGTCGAGCGCAAGCTGAGGATGCTGCTGCGGCGGCTCGCACCCGCGGCGGGAGGAGGAGGAGGGGCGGCGGCGGCGGGCGGTGGCGGTGGTGGTGGCGGTGGTGGTGGCGGTGGAGGCGGAGGAGGCGGAGGAGCAGGCCACAGCTTTGACCCGGCTGTGGAGTCGGCACGGGAGGACTGGTGGACCGCGCTGCAGACGCTCCTCGCGATGGGCGAGGCGGCGGGATGCTTGCGTCACCCCCTCCTCGCCGCCTCCCACCTCCTCGCCGGACCGCCGCCACCGCCCGCCGCCGCCACCGCCGCCGCACCAGGCATCTCCTACCGGCTGGCGAGGCTGCAGCGATCCCTAGCCTCCACTGCGGCCGCCACCGCCACCACCTCCGCCACCACCTCCGCCACCACCTCCGCCGCCGCCTCCGCCGCCGCCGCCTCCGCCGCCTCCGCCGCCGCCGCCGCCGCTACCGGCGGCGCGGGGGCGGAGGCGGCGGCGGGACGTGTCCCGGACATGTCCCGCCTCGTCCTCTCCCCGGACCCCGCCTCGCCTCGCACCCCGACGAGCCCGCACCGCCCCCTTCTGCCCCCCTCCTTAAGATCGGCTAGACCTTAGGTGGCCTGGCTGCCCAAACCTAAGCAAGCGTGTCCCTGCGGAATCTCTCCAGGTATTGTTGAAGTCCCTTGCGCTTTTCCCCCCCC